TATATATATATATAATTTAAGTGCATTTGAAATGAAGATTCAGGCTATAAATATTTCACTTTTGGATCGAGAAAATGGGGACAATAACAAAGAAATGTTAGGGTTGTTAATGGATATTTATTTATGTTAAAATGATTTATATTATTTTGTTAAGATGAGATCATGTTACTTATACTAGAAAATAATGAAAATTTAATACTTAAATAATATAAAGCTATTAGTTAATTGTAATAATAAATTAATAAATTTGTAGTAATATTAATGCCCATGTTTATTATAGGCTTCAGTTTTAAAAGGGTCGAGGCCAAGGCAAATTCAAGAATAAATTAATCGACATTGAGGTGAGTAATATTCTTAAATTATAATATCATTGATCTATTTCGTCTAAACAAGTTATATGAATTGTTATTCATGCTTAATTAGTGAATTGATTATTTCGATATAAATACTTGTAGTTTCACATTATGAAATATTTTATATATTATAGTAATCATTATTGCATATTAAGTAATATGAAATTGTGAATGATATGAACTTTATGGATTGTTTATTTGTATATGCTTTGATTATGTTGGAATCACTCTTTTATGATACTAGCGGGCGAAGACTATGATACCTATGCATGTAAATGAAAAATATTATTGATGTTGCAGTACCTTAACTTGTATAATTTTTAGACGGTGCTCTTATGATGGTTGTACAAATATAAATAATATAAATATGATATTAATACAGTAAAACACTTAAATATTATGAAATATCGCTAGCAATCATATTCATAAGCTAGCAAATGTTTTATTATTTATTTATTAAGGGTTTGACCGACATGCATATTATTTTATTCTTTCATTGTGCTACTATTGTTTAGGAGTACAAGTATTCACTAACTATGGTTAGCTCACTGTTATTTTAAACTGACATTTTATGTGTAATTAAGTAATTTAAAAGATGAGTGATGAAAGAGAAAATGCTTATAGAAAGTGCTGACAATCAATAATGGGGTATTTTTGATTGTACTTCTTAAATATTTATTTCTATATAGTGGCCTTTTTTATTAATTAAAATTTTAGTTATAGAAAAAAAAAAATATAGAAAATCTTTATTTCCTACCGTCTGATCGTCTTTACTTGTCTTGGTTAATTCCAAGCCTCGGGTCAGTGCATGACAGATCACATTATTCTAGGTTTGTTTAGGCACCAATTCAGATTAGTCTTTAGATTTTTCTTGTAGATAAAAAATTGTACATGATTATATAGAAATTTTAATGAGCTTAGTAGTAAATAATAATATGAATTAATCCTAAAATATAAGAATCATGAAGTTGTATATGTCTGTAATTTTCATATTCTCTGTTGGTGACCCTTGTGCTTGTTGGTGGTAAGTTGATGAAACTTAAATAGAGCACATGTGAGCTGGAAAGAGTTGGATGTATTTTAAGGTAGAATAGAACGTGAAATTTTTTTTGTCGTGGGCATTACAATATATTCTTCTCTCTCACTTTTGTCTTTTTTATTTCTTTGTGCTAGAGTCTGGCTCTGCCACCATTTTTAGTATTGCTTTTTTTGTCGTGGGCATTACCATATATTCTTCTCTCTCACTTTTGTCTTTTTTTTTTCTTTGTGGTAGAGTCTGGCTCTGCCACCATTTTTAGTATTGCTTGTGTTTGTATTTGACAATGCATTCATCAATTGACCGAGTTTTCATACTTGAATTTGTAGTAATGTTTGAACGGTTGCTTAAATATGTTAGGATAAATATTGATGTCTGAATACAAGTCTACCAATCGTTTTTGGACTGATGGACATTGATTCTAATAACGACATAACTACGAGAGAGATAAAGAATTGAATATTGAAATAAGAGCTAGATAGAGGAGTAAAGTTCTTTTAGGTGCTTTAAAATTTTAAGTGATATCATTCTGCTGACGCTGGTTGGTTGAGGCATTCTGTCGGAAGCTGAAAAGATCTGCTGATCTATATTTAATGATTCAATGGCTATTAGGGAATACTTAATCAAGTACATGGATTTGTAAGGATTGCCTAGATCATGGTTAGATTACATCCATTATACTCTAGAGTTCATTGATTCTAATCATGGAATAGCTTCACTGCCATGCATTAGTAATGCTATGTACATTGACCCCTCCCTAGACTTCAAATTAAAGTTGAGTCCTATGTGCATACTTTTTTTTTTTTTTTTTGATTTGACGCAAACCTTTTAGTAATTGTGAATACACCTTCTAATTACTTGAATAGAATTAGAGATGCTTGTTAAAGCCTTTTTTGGTTGATATTATTTCACCATCAAGCCTTTCTTCACCTTATCTAATTGAGCTGGGCGTGTCAATTATTTTCATGTAAAATAGGAAGTAAATTTGTTATTGATTTTTATCATCTCTGCTGATTTTCACCATCATGCCTTCTTCACCTTATCTAATTGAGCTGGGCGTGTCATCAATTATTTTCATGTAAAATAGGGAGTAAATTTGTTATTGATTTTTATCATCTCTGCTGATCAAGCAGCCTCTTTTATCAAGAAGCCTCTTTTCTGTTTTTGTTTCATATAATTGAAGTGCAAGTCCTATTTCGTACTTGTGAACTAGTCTAAGAAGCTTGTTTTGTTTCATATAATTGAAATGCAAGTCCTATTTCGTACTTGTGAACTAGTCTAAGAAGCTTGTTTTGATTTCTATCGAAACCTCTGTTTTACTGAAGGTTTGTTGTTTCTGAGGCTCTGCGGCAGATGTATGGTGTACCACATGATTGGGATTCCTTGCCCCCAATGCCTAGTATTGGCGGTACTTGGTCTGTTATGCATAGTTGGGCATTGCCTACGAGATCTTTCCTCGAGTTTGTCATGTTTTCAAGGTATATGTTTTCTATTAAAGAATTTCATACTATATTAAGTGACAAACTTGTCCCTCTCCATGTGTTTACTCTTCCAGCTACATGTGCTGATTGACTTTCTTATCAGTTACCATTAATTCGTCAAAAACCTCTTTGTATTATTATTATTTTTTTACCATACCCAATTCTCTTACTGGTAAGGAAGTTAACCATAATTTGCAGAATGTTTGTTGAGAATTTGCAAACATCTGCTACCAGAAGTTAGATAGCACACTAATACACATCTACTTGCACGCCAATACAGATGTACTTTGTTTTCTCATAGATAACTTGTTAATAGTGCTTTTGACTAAGCTGCCTCCATAATTTGCAGAATGTTTGTTGATGCCTTGGACGCACAGATGTATGATCAGCACTATCGAAGTGGTTATTGCCATTTAAACTTGGGGAAGGTACTTCTATCAATTTGATAATTCAAACACTCTCTGCTTGATTTTTTTAAATATTAAATACAGGGTGGGTAATGTTTAGATAATAAATGAAAAATTGAACTGAATCAATTTTTTTTAATTTAGTTGGTTTGATTCGTTTGTTAAAATCAATTTGATTTTTCGTCACAATATTTATATTATTTGATTTTTTGTCATAATTTTTATTTTATTTGACTTTTTTTGCTTTTAGTCCTGTTTTATTTTGGCAAAACTGATCAAACCAAAAATCAAATTATAATAATTTGACAAAGCTTGTGAATGGTAAATAAGCAAGTGACATAAGAGGTTAATATTGATGCTATGCATTCTACATGCTAAAAGTATAAATTTAGGGCTTGTCTGAGATCATTCATATTGTTTGTTTTTTTTAAATTTTATTTTGTCTTGTTATTGTGTTTTGATATGAATAAACATATTAGCTATGTTGTAAATAAATCAATTTTCTTTTAAAACAATCAAAATAACTTTGAGTGTTTTAAAAAATAAATTAAATTATACATAAAAAAGTCAAAATATTTGAAAAACACACTAAATAAGCATATTTTTAAACCAAAAAAAAAAAGTTAAATACAAAAATTCATCCCAAATAGGCCCTTAGCAAAAGTTATTTGTTATTCTTCTCCATATATGCTGTTTAAGATAAAATTACTTAGATTCATTAAATTATTTACATTTCAATTCATCCAAAATTTATTCGAATAGTTTTGTCAATTTTATTTCAGTTTTTTTGAATCGAAATCAGTTGTTTTAATAACTTAATATGTCAACTAGACTAAACAAATTAAATACACTTCTAGTTAAACATGGTTGACCATATCGTTTTTTTCGATCAACAATCACCCTGCTGTTAGCAACATGGCGAAGTGTCAAATTTTCTTCAATATGCAGTTGCCACTGTGGTGTTGCCTTTCCTTTCTTTGAGAAGCGTTGTCTCATTTTCTAGTTTCAAGTGACTTAATTATGCTATTTTCAGCACCTAAAAGCTATTGAAGAATTCAGAACTTTTGTTGAACATAGCAGTAGTTTTACAAGTTCACTTCGTGCCATTTTATTGCTCTCTTTCAAAAGAGATGTTGGATGTTTAAAATCAGTAGTCTGCTGTTGCCCATGTCACATTAACCCGTGTTTTTTGGAAAATCTGTTTCGTTATGCTCTTGGTTTACTGTAGTGAAAAACATTGATTGAGTTGCTTGAGTTGCCCAATAATTACTATAACGTGGAGGAATATGATCGCTTGACCTTAGCTTCAACCTTCAAGCTCCATCACTCTGTTCTCATTTGAGACTCATGGTAACACCACCAGGATCCTAAAAACAAGTCTTCCAACCACACTTAGTTTTCTATCCACGATCCATCAAAATCCATCCAAAGCTTAGGTACGTGTACAAAGTTTTCTATCCACGATCCATCAAAATCCATCCAAATACTATGACTTTCATAAGAATTGCAGCCATTATGTGGAGGATTATTGCCACTTAAACTAGCTAGTTGAGGAGCTAATTCTTGTAAACTAGCTAAAAACAAAGGCAATTTCAAGATACTTCGGTCTTCTTGTGAATGTTGATTTGGTCTAATGAATTAAAAGTCTACAGAGATAACCAATTTTACACAATTTTGGCTGACTTCATCATAGTCAACACCTTGATATTTGTCGTTTTTTTTAACAACACTTCTTATGATTTCAAAGGTTCAATCTTAGAATTCTGGAAGGGGATTGGATCAACTTGAAATTTGTTTTATAAGAAATTTAAATGAGGAAGAGTAGGAGTACTTAATTTGGGAAGCTTCATAGCACTTCATACGACCATATATTGAGCATTACATTTTATGTATACATTTATATATTTAAGTTGATCATTTTTATTCAAAAATTTGGAATTTACATTTCAGAAATGCAAGGTTTTCAAAATTATGCCCAAGGAGTCCGCACATATAATGTAATTGAGATGACAATTAACATCAAATTATAGATCTAAGGTGAAAACCACTTAGAAGTTATTAATTTAGATCAAAATATAACAAATATATGGGACTAACAAACATGAAACCTCACTATACATCAAAAGTATGCCCGCATGAATCTGGAGGAAATCCAACAGGTCTCGCTTATGAACACCAAAGGGTAGTGTATCAGGATAGTCAAAAGACAGAAACACCAAGTGTCATTTCATTCGGTCAGAACATTAAGCTGACTAAATGGAAGCACAATCAAACAAAGAAATTGAAAGGGTCCGATCTGAGGGATGGTCGTTCATGACCAGCTCCCTCAGCCGATTTCAAAACTCGTCATAAAATAGCCAAAGGGCCTTCCCCCATGAAACGTCCTCTTAGAAGACGTCCAATGAGAGTTATTTGTCAGATTATGGTGGTACACCCTATGCTTGATGACCCAAAATCATCCTATTGATAGGAGAGCCTCTACTCAGTATTCCTTGGAAAGGGCTGACCGACGGTCTTGCGGTCGACCGAATGTCTGATGACCAACCAAAGGCTTTCAACAGACTGAACGACAATATTATCGGGCCATTAGATGCCCCTCTTTAAGTAGTCATGAATATAAAATTGAGCTAATTTCGGTCATAAATATGAGTTACAATATGAAAAGATCTCAAATAATTAGTACTGTCCCTTTTAAAATAAAGACAAACATGTAATTTTACAGAAGATAAACCTATAAATAGGGGATCATGCCTACAACGAAGGACCATTGAATTTACTCTATTAAAACTCTCACCTTAATTTGCACTCTTTTCCTCTCTCTCTCTCTCTCTCTCTCTCTCTCTCTCTCTCTCTCTCTCTCTCTCTCTCTCTCTCTCTCTCTCTCTCTCTCTCTCTCTCTCTCTCTCTCTCTCTCTCTCTCTGTTTCTTTCGTCCTTCTTATGCTCTATACCTTGGGTTTGTTCCACAGGTCATATTTGGATTCAACACTCACCAAAGGTTAAGTCTACCCACCCTATAGTTTTTCAGTACTGCTTGAAAATTATTTTCAACTAAATCTTCCTAAGCGCTTTTAAAACCTTGTCTTGGTTTTCATGCATAAGCGAGTTAGACTAGAATTCTGATGGCCGACCGAAGGCTTTCAATTGACTGAACGACAATATTATCGGGTCATTAGATGCCCCTCTTCAAGTGGTTATGAATATAAAATGGAGCTAATTTCGGTCATAAATATGAGTTACAATATGAAAAGATCTCAAATAACTAGTACTGTCCCTTTTAAAACAGGGACAAATTTGTAATTTTACAGTAGATAACCCTAAAACCTATAAATAGGGTATCGTGACTACAATGAAGGACCATTGAATTTACTCTATTAAAACTCCAACCTTAATTTGCACTCTTTTCCTCTCTCTCTCTCTCTCTCTCTCTATCTCTCTCTCTCTCTCTCTGTGTTTCTTTCGTCCTTCTTATGCTCTATACCTTAGATTTGTTCCACAGGTCATATTTGGATTCAACACTCTCCAAAGGTTAAGTTTACCCACCTTATAGTTTTTAGTACTGCTTGAAAATTATTTTCAACTAAAACTTCCTACGTGCTTTTAAAACCTGATGTCTTGGTCTTCATGCATAAGCGAGTTAGACTAGAATTCTGATGGCCGACCGAAGGCTTTCAATTGACTGAACGACAATATTATCGGGTCATTAGATGCCCCTCTTCAAGTGGTTATGAATATAAAATGGAGCTAATTTCGGTCATAAATATGAGTTACAGTATGAAAAGATCTCAAATAACTAGTACTGTCCCTTTTAAAACAGGGACAAATATGTAATTTTACAGTAGATAACCCTAAAACCTATAAATAGGGTATCGTGACTACAATGAAGGACCATTGAATTTACTCTATTAAAACTCCAACCTTAATTTGCACTCTTTTCCTCTCTCTCTCTCTCTCTCTCTCTCTATCTCTCTCTCTCTCTGTGTGTTTCTTTTGTCCTTCTTATGCTCTATACCTTGGGTTTGTTCCACAGGTCATATTTGGATTCAACACTCTCCAAAGGTTAAGTTTACCCACCTTATAGTTTTTAGTACTGCTTGAAAATTATTTTCAACTAAAACTTCCTACGTGCTTTTAAAACCTGATGTCTTGGTCTTCATGCATAAGCGAGTTAGACTAGAATTCTGATGGCCGACCGAAGGCTTTCAATTGACTGAACGACAATATTATCGGGTCATTAGATGCCCCTCTTCAAGTGGTTATGAATATAAAATGGAGCTAATTTCGGTCATAAATATGAGTTACAGTATGAAAAGATCTCAAATAACTAGTACTGTCCCTTTTAAAACAGGGACAAATATGTAATTTTACAGTAGATAACCCTAAAACCTATAAATAGGGTATCGTGACTACAATGAAGGACCATTGAATTTACTCTATTAAAACTCCAACCTTAATTTGCACTCTTTTCCTCTCTCTCTCTCTCTCTCTCTCTATCTCTCTCTCTCTCTCTCTGTGTTTCTTTCGTCCTTCTTATGCTCTATACCTTAGATTTGTTCCACAGGTCATATTTGGATTCAACACTCTCCAAAGGTTAAGTTTACCCACCTTATAGTTTTTAGTACTGCTTGAAAATTATTTTCAACTAAAACTTCCTACGTGCTTTTAAAACCTGATGTCTTGGTCTTCATGCATAAGCGAGTTAGACTAGAATTTTCTTAATTTTGGAAAGAAAATTTATAATTTAATCACTTAAACTAAGCTACTCGACTGCGTCAAATCTGAGAAAAAATATTTAGAGGCTGAAAATAGATATTCCAGGCTGTAAAATATATGAGCAATCATTCTCTTAAGTATAAAGATGTTAACTTTAAACTTCAAGGATACTTTAATTATGTATTTAGCTTCTACAATTTAATAACTTAAACTAAGCTACTCGACTGTGTCAAATCTGAGAAAAATATTTAGAGGCTAAAAATAGATATTCTAGGCTGTAAAATATATGAGCAATCATTCTCTTAAGTATAAAGATGGTGACTTTAAACTGCAAGAATACTTTATTTCAAATCTAGTAAAGCTAGATATATGAAATACCAC